AGACCACTGCCTTTGTAGGCATCCTCAACCTCTCACACAACAGCATAAAGCCTATGATAAACTTTATGTTGTTGGCAGTTATTTGCGATAGGGCCAGCTCGTACTTTGCCAGGAGATCAAAAATTAGTCTGGGAAGAGAAAAACGTAGACCAGCGTCAAAATGGTCTATGTACACTGGCACCCAGCCCGTCCTCGATACTGAACACGCCTGTTCGTTTGGTGTCCCAGCTCGGATCAGGATGGTTCTAGGGATCTGGTATTGCCTCACCATCTCCTCTAATTTCTTGTACCCCTTCACTGTGGCCACGCCATCTACAACTTCGTGATGCAATGCCACCCTAAACCTAAATCCGGCCGATAGGGTTTTGGGGGCCTTGTGAAGGTTATCCAATCTCCCGCTGATAACCTTGCTCTCCCACCCCTCAAACACAACCACCTCCGCCTTTGCACTTATCGCCAGTGCACTGCAACCAACTTCTTCAACACCCTCTACTTCACCGGGTGTCTCTTTCACGGACGAATCGTTGAAAGTTGAAGACCGGTGGTCACCAGAACCATCACCCGCGCTCGAACTAGTGCTACTCTTCGGCGTGATGGTTCTGGGCAAATCTTGCAACTCCGGCGGCACTATCATGGTGATAAGCTCCACTGATATCACGTCTACTTCTTCTTCCCCACCTTGGTTACCCCGAAACTCTTATGCATCATGAAAAGAAGCCATTTTTACCTGAATATGTGAAATAGGATGTCCTTTCGCTGGAAGTTCTGAGGAATGGCTTGGAACGTCTCTGCAAACTTTGCTAACGAAAATGCTAACATACTATGTAATGGAACAGAGAATGGCTTGAGTAACTGTTTTTGTTTTTTGCCCTTCAGATAATGCTCATGGAACGTTGTACCCGTGTTTATGGCCCCCCAGTTAAACGCATCCATGTGGCAGTCATTTATGATTAAAAGCCCAAAATTCGCCGCCTGCAGCTGTCACGTCCCCTCAAATGCTGAGCCAGCATTTATTGCGGGGAGGCAAAAGGATATTTGCCGTTGGCAGAAGAATACCAAATGCCCTGAGCAAATCTCCTCAAAGATTCACCACAATTTAAGATTTGAAAAATCTCAAGGATCAGCTCGTAACAAATCCAAGATCTCCTCAGAGATCTGCCCTAATTCAAAATTTGAAAATCTCGAGGAATCAGCTCGTTACGAATCCGAGATCTCTTCAAAGATTCCAAGTTTGAAAAATCTTTAGAGATCAAGTCGTAACAAATCAGAGATTCACCTCAGTTTTGAACATCAAACGTTAGATCGTCACCAACTCCCTCGGATTTGCTCTGTATCTTGGAGATCTACATTATAGTGACGATTGAGGTCGCTCATTTCAGCTCGTCTTGGTATTCACACTCCATCAGCATGGGTTTAGTTTTTAATTTGTTCTCTTAAATATTAGGGTGACCTCAATACATACAAACTTCAAAGGTTGGATGGCTCAGCTCGTCCACCACCTGCTCACCTTGGTGCGCCCTCTTAGCTCACCGATTAGCACCGAGCTTGTGCTGGTTTAACACTAGCTTCCCCACGCCTGCTCAATAGGAAGCTGGCATACACACGCGCATCAGACCAGGCCATGCTGGCTTCAGGCTACCCAGATCGACCGTGCGTGAGGTCGGTCATGAACAATAAAACATCACTCCTCATCCCCAGGGTCAAACACCGTACTAATGAGACTCTCAACCCAGTTCGTCAACCGAACACTGAGGGGGGAGTAATGTTGGGATTAGGCCCAACACCCGCTTCGGGCCACATGCAGCAGGCCTAGTTATACACCCACAGGTCCAAGATGAGGAGACATGCCCACGTGGGCAATAACACGTGGACCAATTGGATGAACACATGTCTGAGCTCATGTCAGCATTTAGGGCTATAAATACCCCTAACTACCTCCAATGAAGGTATTTAATCTCTACTCCTCTCTCTTTCTGCAATTACTCTTTGAGAGCATCTTTCTCTAGAATATTGAGTATTGCTGACTTGAGCGTCAGAGTGTTTTTCCCGAAAAAACATCTTTGGGAATTTTAGGTGTAGAAGTAGCTGAAGACTTCAACGGTGTTGGATCGTAAAGCTGCCCAAACAGCTTTTGAGCAAAGAATTTGGTTTGTAGATTTCCTGGTTTATTTGGAGTTTGACTCGAGACATTCCATCATTATCATCAAAGGAGGCTTTTAAGGAAGGAAGCTTTCATTTTCTCTTCTTATTCCTGTTTGCAGTTAAATTTTTCCAGTTTTAAATTTGTTTTCTCAACCGTTTATTGGCCTTTTAGGAAGCAATTAACCTTGCAGTGTTTCCTCGTCAGGGAATATTGTTTGATTTGGACTGTTTTTTTGGTTTGGTTTCAACAATTTGTTATGATTTTTTTGTTAAAAAATTGTTGATTGAATCATGAATAGTGCAATCATTAAATGTTTGGTTTGATTGTCATTTTCTTACCCATGACAGTTGACATTTTTCAAAAATAAATGACTTTGGTGCAGAATTGCATGCTATTAGAGATGGTCTTAATATTGCTGTGAACCACCACTTTCATAACGTTATTGTGGAAACTGATTGTCAGGTTGCATATTTGCTTTTGTCTGGTGCACCTAACATCTCCCACCCTTATAGCACTCTT